ACACTTAACTATACATATCTGTCACAAAGCGTAGGAACTGTAAGAATCAATCTTACGTTTTGGATTATAACATCAGGTGATTTTTTAAATTCGAACTAACCTTACTTCTAATTGATTAATACATGAAATAGAATTACAATCAAACGGTATGGTTGATGATAAGGTAGAGTTGATTTCATAGTTCGAAAATTAGTTCACAATTTAAACAGTTAGCAGCCTAACCAAAAATAGGGTGGTGTTTGAATTGATTGAACTCTCTCTCTGAGCTGAGTTAAACCGGATACAACACCGCTGGTGAGCTCAGCGACAAAATAGTGAAACAACCCTCCCAGTGTGTAGATAACTTCGATCCGATTACTACTTGGTTGATGGTAGTAGTATAATGGTTGCATTACACAAGACTTGAGACAATGCGTTAGGTAAAGCAATAAGAAGACGTAATTTGTCTGTGTGAATCGTGTGTGTTATGTATTTGCGCAACACATTTCGAACAGTCTGATCCAGAACACACGGACTTGTTATAGGAGTACTCATATGAAATTAATAAAGAGGTAAGAGGTGAGAAAATAGACATATTCAAGGCCAAAATAACAATCCAGATCAATAAACCAAATAGCAGAGGTATTAGTACACCTATCCTGGCTTGGTATCAAAACAAAGCTTACCAAGGAAGGTAGGTTTAGTGTGATGACGAATGGTTGCTTTGATGAACGCAGAAAGGTGGTTTAAACTTTCTAATTACCAGCCAGCCAGGGCTTCGACAAACTTTAGGATACGCCATCCTCCAGACACGTTCATATATAGGTTTAAAAGACCTATCCTGTCCCATCTATAATATGTTACGCAATAGAGGAACTAGATCTCCTGTTCTCACCATTAATAGGTTCTGAAGATTCTATTTGTTTCTGGAGCCATTTAGGAATATGCTCTGAAGCCAGCCCTTACTTGCAGAGATCGATGAGTCCTCCCTATGTATGTGTGTCCACACGTACATTCAAATTGGTAAATCCAGTGGGATGTGACATCATTTTTCGTATTTTCGAAGGGGCTTAGATAGATATATTGGCCTTACATTCTCTATTATTATGATATTAACTGCATAAAAAGTCTTTTTAACAACAGCGTTCAGTTTTTGTCTAGTCATGAGGTTGTTATGATGCTTCATATAGGGTAGCTTGCTGTACACGCCTTTCTTAGGGGCGAGTTGGAGAGTGGATCTTGGTGTTCCACTGACTACTTTATATCTCCTGATGAACTCTTTTCTGGATAATTGTTATCAACCAGACAGAGTTTGTGTCAGCTTTCTTTTTTCTTCATCAAGTGTGTCTTCAGTGCATATTCATTGGATTCTACCGAAGAGACACCTACCTTACTAAGGCTCTTTTGTACTGAACAGGGCAGAAACTATGGTAATTAGGATACTGTCGTGTCCTATGTTAGATTATGCAAGAGATCGTGTAATATGTCCTCTAATAAACGTCTCAAAATAAGAACAAAAGATGGTTAAACGGTTCTTGGTTGCCCCTTGGGATCAAATCTACTTCAGGAAGAAAAAGAACGTCGATTTCCTCCCTAGAAACTAAGTGATTGACTGACTGATCGACTGAGTTTCAACATAAAACTGTGCACAGAATTGCAGCCCTCCATATATAGCATACAAGGTAGACGCAAAAAGGGCGTTCAAAAGAATTGCAAGACGCAAAAATGTACAGGAGAACGTATAGAAACAAGAAGGCTTGACGAATCCCCGGGAGATTACCAACAGCAGTAAACGTATTCACGCCATTGAGAACAATTTTGAGCCATATTATCGACAACCTCCAAACCAATGATCCTTAGCATCCTGACGACCTCCTCAAACAACCAGTTTACACCTCCTTACTTGGTCAAAGACTTCGTGGAGTGATTCCAGAACTTGATTTCATTGCCTCTGTAATTAATTTACTACTTAAAACATATATTAGCTAAGATTGCTCGATGAGGTGTGTTAATGCTGGTGAACATTGAATGGTTAGTTTGTTCTAACTGGTGTGCATTGGGCGGAGAGGGGCGGAGATAACAAGGCTATCATCGGTTAATTGTGTACTGGCTTGGCAGAAGATTGGAGAAATACGATCAGAAGTATTCTTGTATGTTGTGCTAACGTTTATTTACAGACTTCAGCACTGATTAACCACTGTAAATCTGTTTCGTTATCGCTTAAAGAATAAATAATCGTTTAGCCCAACCGTTTTCTGTTGTTCCGCATCGGTTACACAGTGCATAGTGTTCAAAGTATTAAGGTTAATCTTCTGAAATCAGAGATAGGTGCAGGATCTTAGCGATGCGGATGTTTGACAAGGTGGTTTGAAATATGTGAAAGGTGTCCTAGGTATCTTAATCGATGAAGCTTCAGGACATCCTTACAATTAATTTTCCTTTTTTACCTAACACTATCATTAACCTCTATTATTATTTCCTTTGGTTCCTACAGGAACATAGGGCTTCAGCCGAACATCTTCATTGCGTTCGGATCTCCCCCAAGGTTTTGACCTGACTCCACGTCTGTCCATATGCTTTCATCTCCTCTTCACATCACCTTCTCCTCCATGTCACCCAACCCTCACACTGACGACCAACACGCCGCTTCCCATTCACGTTACACTCGAGTGATGATCTGGCGTGTGATGTGACTCACTTGATGGCTTTTTTTCTCAGAGTATGATTAATCCACCTCCATTTATTCCTGCATATTTGTTGCACAATTGGTTCCTACTAGGTTGGTTCGCTCCCAGAGATCCCTAACTATTGCTGATCTTTTCTGGTCGGCCATCTGATCTTAAGTAGTATTGAGCGAAGACAGTTGTTGATGAAACTCTGTAGTTTGTTTGAATTGCTCTTCGTAACTTGAAGCCAAGTCATTGATCCGTACAGTAAGTAGCATTGACTTCACATTGGAGTTGAAAATCCGGATCTTATTTTCATTTTTGATGCTGAAGTGCTGTTGATCTCCATACAGACTTGAAAGTAATGTAAGCTTGCCTTGCTTCCCCGATCTGCACTTTGATATCCTCATCAGTTCCGTTCACCTGTAGCTGAGACGATGCTTCTCAGGTAGGTAGGTAAGTAAAGGATGTTGCTTCTTTCAGATTTCTCCTATTTATGCTGATTGTTGTCTGTTGTTGTTGTTAGTGTCGGTGTTGGGCAGGGATCTTCATCACCTGTTTTTTCTCTATGTCCACTTGAAGGCTTATCTTTGATGCTTCTTCTATCGCCGACTTGTTGCTTTTCATTTGTACATCTTCTAGTTTGTGGTAAATCAGACACATATATCATCAGCGAAGTCCAGATCCTCCACATTTTTAGGCGGGTCCATTTTATGTTTGTCTCCTCGTTGCCCGCTTACTGTCTGTCGCATTATCCGGTCTACCACAATCAGGAAAATTATTGGAGATAGTAGACAGCCATCCAGATTGTCTTACTGCTGTCTTCACTTCGAAGGATTCCGTGAGTTTCCCGTTGTGGATTACTTGGCATGCAGGCAGCATTGTCGTATAGCTGTTAGATGAGATGTATAATTGTTGACGGCACCCTGCAGTAGCGAAATAGTCGCCAAATCACCTCTCGATCGACGCTGTCTGCCGAAGGCCTTTTCAACGTCTATGAAGTTGAGTGAGGTAGAGAGCTGATTGCCATTCCAAGCACTGTTCAATGATGATCCGCAGTGTTGCGATTCAATCGATGCACGACTTGTTCCTCCTGAATCCAGCTTATTCCGGTCGAAGTTTTCCATCCAGGTGGCGTGTTTGATTCTCTCAATATTACTCAGTATATATATCGCAACATTTAACCACATGATTCTTAAAAAACCACTGAGTGCCAGTTCTCATGGTGACGATATCATCAGAAATTCATCGTTTAAGCTAACAAACAGTTTATGTGTGTATGACTGTTACTCACTGACAAAAGTACGAGAGATGAAAACATCAGGAACAAAAACCACAGTTCATTAAAGATGCTTAAATTATAATCATAATAAAGATATAATAACGAATAGAATATCAACTAAAATTAGGGAAATTCCACAAAAATTAAGAATCATTCAAACCTAGATGGCCAATTATTAACCTTTCGAACACTGAATCCAAAAAATACAATCTTATTGACAGATAATACACATAACCCACTGTTTGGATTTGTGGAATTTTTAAACATAAACACATCTATAATTGTATATATTGTTGGATTTATATGTTCAAGTTGCTCCAAGTCAGTGAGTTTATGGTTAAGATATCATTTTAGTTAAATGTACTGAACTATATTGCATGTTGTCTTATTGTATAGTTGTCGTCGCTTTTTGCCCTTTTTTCTGTGAACTGTTTCCTTTGTTGATGTTGTTCTCATTGTTTGTCCGTTATTTTCTGATTTTGAGGGGAGCAACCCAAAAAGTTGCTTCTCTCTAAACGTTTACTTAATGTAATCATTCCTTTCTCAGGCGTGAGGCTAGCAACCCCACCCTGTAAACAAAAATTGCTAAAGAAACTTCAGTATGATGAACCTCCTTGCACCAAAAGATGGCCAAGAGGGTAGGGACAATGTCTGAACTAACTACTTCTGGATGCACAAATTAGACTTCTTAATATAGATCCCAACAGTTAGCCTTAGCAATATTTAGTAATCGAAGTCTTAAGGCAAAAAATTGAGATTTGTTGGTATGCGCGGTAGATGACTCTGAAAGCCACCTGGTTAACATCAATCTTGTGTTCTGTCTGTATCCACAAAATGAGATAGAATAGCACAATGCGAATAGATTTTGTTTGTCCTTTGCTTAACCACTAGGCAGGATGATGTTCAGAAATTCGACAAGAAACACGCCTAATTGTATGGCTTATGTAACTGGCTCCACAGAAGTCAGTTTGACATCCGAGTACGATTCCCAGGTTGATGTACTCATCAACTTCAGCCTTCACATGGAATGCAAAGAAATGAAGAAACAAAAAAAACAGAAAAGACAAACTTACATATCTGTATTCCCGGTTGTTTGTTTACACAATTGAGCATATAATTCATCTCGTAAATTTGCTGAACTCAAAGCACGATGAATAATAATTGAACCATAATCTGGTAGACTAAGCCGAGCTTTTCTATCACCCATAAATGATTGAATTACTGAATAGAATTCATCATGAAAAAGATAAGAACAAAGAATAAAATATAAATAGAAAGAATAAAATGTGATATAAGGTGGAATGGTTTATTTCAAAGGAAGCTGACCTGTGTTAACATATGGGCTGTTAATGCGGACGTTCCAACAATTTCTCGGAATTAATTCGTAGTAATTTGCTGGATGGTGATTAGCAGCGGAAGAATCCACAATGCGCACTTCGCCCTATCAAGGCTTCGTCAACCAGGTTAACATGTATACCCACCCAAGTGAGTCAGTGATGGTGTGTTTCTACTGAGACTCGAACCAAGTGCCCTTCGCTCCAAACACCAAAGCTCTACTCCACTAGACTATTTGAGCTATGAGAGATACTTCCTGTGAAACAGGCATCAGTTACTATATGTTCTAAGTTTTCTCGTTGACACTGATTGAACCAAAATGTTTAGCCTCTGTTGATACTTACTTACTTTACTTCGGCTATCTCCTACGGGAGGATGAGCCGGCTTCATGAACAAGAGTTCATGAAGTTTCATGGGAATTAGGTACGAGTGATGTCTCCAGAATCGCTCGGCCTTTTGTTTGAGAGTGCAGCTCTAGCCTTTACACAACCAAGTGTGACCTACAAGGCAGTAGGAGTGGAGTAGGGAGTCCACTATCCATTGGAAGCCAGCCGGTGACCGGAGTCGGGTTCATACGCCTTTTTGAATGGGGCCAGACATGCACCAGGGCATCCAATAAGCCCTTTGTCCATACGTCTGCCAGTGAGCTCCGGTGAGCTTCATACGCCAGTCGTTGGAGGTTTGAAATCAGGGTTTAGCCATCTCCCCTAGACTGTCATTCAATGGACAGTCAATCTGGTGAAGAGCGCCGGGCATCCGCTTTTGCCCTCTCACTTCGGTGAAAAACACCTCCGCCACGTGAAGGCAGTGAGTAGGACTTCCTCAGGAGAGGCTATATAAGACGCCCGATCATATGGGAGCATTTCAAGAGGTGTACAGAGGGGTGGTCAACCCGCAGCGCAAGGCACCCACTCCCGACCATACTGAGGCTTTGGATACAATCACTTAATAGGAATTGTAGGTAAATGCAGATGACGAGTTCGAAATTGGGAGAAATGCACATGCTGGATCACACTGCCAGTTAATATTCACCGAAAAAATATTTTAATGGTATTAGAAAATGAAGGTTAAAGAATAATAGTTTCATATTACTCAGTTAACATGTACGGAAAAAGATTGTGCGCGCGCTTTTCGACTATTACGTTACATTTTGCTCATTAATAAAAACTTTTATTACTGTAAAAATTTATGCAAAGAGTTTGCGGAAATTATCACAATTATTAACCTTTCGAACACTGAATCCAAAAAATACAATCTTATTGACAGATAATACACATAACCCACTGTTTGGATTTGTGGAATTTTTAAACATAAACACATCTATAATTGTATATATTGTTGGATTTATATGTTCAAGTTGCTCCAAGTCAGTGAGTTTATGGTTAAGATATCATTTTAGTTAAATGTACTGAACTATATTGCATGTTGTCTTATTGTATAGTTGTCGTCGCTTTTTGCCCTTTTTTCTGTGAACTGTTTCCTTTGTTGATGTTGTTCTCATTGTTTGTCCGTTATTTTCTGATTTTGAGGGGAGCAACCCAAAAAGTTGCTTCTCTCTAAACTTTTACTTAATGTAATCATTCTTTTCTCAGGCGTGAGGCTAGCAACCCCACCCTGTAAACAAAAATTGCTAAAGAAACTTCAGTATGATGAACCTCCTTGCACCAAAAGAAAAAGTCTGTGTAGGAACATGGAACGTCCGAACTATGTACGAGACTGGGAAAGCTGCCCAGATCGCCAACGAGATGAAAAGATACGGAATACAAGTGCTGGGAATATGTGAGAGCAGATGGAATGGGAGTGGACTCACCAAATTGTCAACAGGTGAGTCAGTGATCTACTCCGGTCACCCAGAAGATAACCACACGCACACCGAGGGCGTGGCTATCATGATGTCACCAACGGCAACGAAAGCCCTGATACAATGGGAGGCGATTTCGTCCAGGATAATGACCGCCAGGTTCAACTCCAAAGGAAGGAAAGTGTCAATCATACAATGTTATGCACCCACAAACAACGCAGACCTCGAGAAGAAAGAAGAATTCTACAGGCAACTACAGGCAACAATGGACAATACTCCAGCTGGCGACATGAAAATACTAATGGGAGACATGAACGCCAAACTGGGACCAGACAATACGGGAAGGGAACTCATCATGGGTAGAGAAGCTCTAGGAGAAATGAATGAAAACGGAGAACTCTTCGCCGACTTCTGCGCCTTCAACGAACTGGTGATTGGTGGCAGTGTATACAAGCACAAAGATATCCACAAGGCTACATGGGTGTCACCAGACGGGCAAACCAAAAACCAAATCGACTTCATCTCAATCTCAAGGAAGTGGAGGCGCAGCCTACTGGACACAAAAGCAAGAAGAGGAGCAGACGTTGGCTCAGACCACTATCTCGTACAAGGGACAATCCAAATCAAATTAAAAGCTTTCAGGGAATCAGGAGCTGCAGATAGACCACAAGCCAAGTTCAACACTCAAAAGCTGAAGGACCAGGCTACAAAGGACATCTTCATTGCAAGCATAAAGGACAAAGCCGAGACACAAATCAACACTAGCGAAAAGGTCGGCGTTGAAAAGCACTGGAACAACTTGAAAACGGTGTGGAGCCAAACCTGCATAGAAATTCTAGGCAGAAAAAAGAGACAGGACAAACAGTGGCTCACTACGGACACTTGGAAACTAATAGAAGAGAGAAGGACAGTGAAGCAAAAGATTATCCAGTGCACTGACGAGCAACAAAAACAGGAGCTGAATGCAAGCTACAATACACTGAACAAAAGAGTGAAGAAAAGTGCCAGGGAAGACAAAAGAAAATATTATGAAACCATGGCAAACGAAGCAGAACAAGCTGCAGGCAAAGGAGACCTCGCCACACTCTACCAAACAACTAGGAACCTTTCGGGCAAACGTTCGACACAGATTAAGCCAATAAAGGACGACAATGGAAAGTCAATCACCAAAGAGGTGGAACAGAGAAAGCACTGGGTTGAACACTTCAAAAGACTTCTAAATCGTCCGCCACCTACAACACGTCCAGCAATACCAACAACGGAAGCAGAACTACCAGTGAACACTGACCCCCCGACGAAATCAGAAGTCCTGAATGCAATCAAGATGCTTAAAACTGGGAAAACACCGGGACCAGATGGAATCCCAGCAGAGGCTTTGAAAATAGACCCAGAGACAACAGCGGACTTGATGACACCACTACTGGAGAAGGTGTGGAAAGAGGGCAAAGTACCCGAGGATTGGAAGAACAGTTACTTATTCAAACTTCCAAAGAAAGGAGACTTAAGTCAATGTAAAAACTGGCGTGGAATTATGCTTCTGTCCATTCCAAGCAAGATACTAAGTCGCATCATCCTGGAGAGAATCAAACAAGCCCTAGATGAAAAACTTCGTCCGGAACAGGCTGGATTCAGGAGAAACAAATCATGTATTGATCAAATCGCCACTCTACGGATCATCATTGAACAAAGCTTGGAATGGCAGTCACCTCTCTATCTCAACTTCATCGACTTTGAAAAGGCCTTCGACAGCGTCGATCGAGAGGTCATTTGGAAACTACTTCGCTACTACGGGGTCCCATCGACAATTATACACCTCATCCAACAGTTATACGACAATGCTGCATGCCAAGTAATCCACAACGGGAAACTTACGGAAGCCTTCGAAGTGAGGACGGGAGTGAGGCAAGGCTGTCTACTATCACCAATGATCTTCCTGATTGCAATTGATTGGATAATGCGACAGACAACGGCAACCAACGAGGGAACAGGCATAAAATGGACTGACACAAAAGACTTGGAGGATCTGGATTTCGCCGATGATATATGTCTGATTTCCCATAAACTGGAAGATATGCAAGTGAAAAGTAACAAGTTGGCAGAAGAAGCATCAAAGATAGGACTTCACGTGAACATAGATAAAACAGAGATGATGAAGATTCCTAGCCAACATCAACAACAACAACAGACCACAATAAGCATAAATGGGAAGAACCTGAAAGAAACAACCTCCTTCACCTACCTGGGAAGCATCGTCTCAACTACAGGCGGAACTGACGAGGACATCAAAGCCAGAATCGGAAAAGCAAGACAAGCTTTCATTACTCTCAAATCTGTGTGGAGGTCAACAGCACTCAGCATCAAAAATAAGATCCGGATTTTCAACTCCAATGTGAAGTCAGTGCTACTATACGGATCAGAGACTTGGCGAGTCATAAAGAGCATCTCAAACAAACTTCAAACCTTCATTAACAACTGTCTCCGCTCAATACTCAAGATCAGATGGCCAGAAAAGATCAGCAACAGGGATCTCTGGGAGCGAACCAATCAGGAACCGATTGTGAAACAAATAGGCAGAAAGAAATGGAGATGGATTGGCCATACGCTGAGGAAACCATCAAGTGACATCACTAGACAAGCCCTCGAGTGGAACCCGAAAGGGAGGCGGCGAGTTGGTCGTCCAAGGGTGACTTGGAGGAGGTCATGCGAGGAGGAGATGAAAGCATGTGGACAGACCTGGAGCAGGGTGAAAAAGTTGTCAGAAAACCGAAGTCAATGGAGGTGCGCAGCTGAAGCCCTATGTTCCTCTAGGAACTAAAGGATACAATAATAATAATAATATAATAATTACTCAGTTAACATGTACATAAATTCAAAATGGATTTTGTCACAAAACAACATAAACAGGAGAAGAAAAAAGAAGAACACGGAACATTGAACAGCTGATGCAGCTTAGCTTTGAAATACATAGCATTATGCGACTATGAGCCTATTGGAAGTCGAACCCCAAGCCTCAGTGGACTGGAATCCAGTAACATATGGATTCTAGTTTGCATTGATTCGCCAACAACACCACCTGATTTCCGCTCTCGTACACAGCTTAGTAATAACTTGTTAATATACTTCCCGGAATCCATTCAAATGTTACCAAAAACACCTTCTGAGCTGAATCCAGTCGGGCACACCAGTGATAAGGTCAATTCCAAAATGAGTGAAACGGCCGTTCGGTGTTAAGATAACTTCTATCTGGTTGGTAAGCACTATACTGGCTGATGATGAGTAGCATCCAACTCACTCAAATCAGCCAATCAATCAGTAATATATACTATTATGTATTTATAATTGCTTACTTAATTACCATTTATGGGAACCAGGTGACAATATATATTGTGATTTAAATATTTTAGGATTCTAAAGAGAACCGTGGCGAGTCGGTGGCACAGCGGTAGGATGCTCACCGACTGGGTATGCAGTTCGGGGTTCGATCCTCAGCCACTGACGCACTTCTTTATCTCGCTCACTAAACCAGTAATACGACTGGTACAGAGGGAAGGTTGGAAATGAGACTGGCTAGCAACCCCATCCCGTGAAAATAAGCACCACTGCTACCAAAACCTCAAAGTTCTAACTTGGAGCCCTCTATGTTACACTGGGAAAGTAAGGGAATACAGATAGGAAACTGTGGATGTGAGACTAGTGATGACAACCCGTGAAAAGCAACACCATAGTTCCATTATAGATAAGATTTTATTCTGATAAATCGCACAGTGTTTACAGTTATATGAACTGATGACGTTTCGAGCACAAACTATTGCTCATAATCATATCAAGTTACTCACACAACTTTGATCTCTCATTTATATACATATGTGGAATGGATTAGATATTGGATTAAAAATCAATGTGAGATAATGTGCATTCAGAAATAATCGTACGGAATCCTTATTTATCGAGTCCACACCCAACACATGCAACAAAAATGACTCAATGCAAATACCAGAGATATGGGAGATATTATTACCGCAGGTCAAATCAGAAGAAGGTAATAAATAATATTAAAATTCTATTTCGATTCAAACACATCACAACATCCTAACAAAAAACTTATTATGACTATTAAAACACTCGTCGTATCTTCCATCTGATTATAGTAGATCAATAACACTCGTATCAATGCCATCAGTCAAACCAGAAGAAGATAATAAATAATCTTAAAATTCTATTTCAATTCAAACATATTCTAACAAGCAGCTTATTATGACTGTAAAAACACTCGTACGATTATTTCTGAATGTACATTATCTCACATTGATTTTTAATCCAATATCTAATCCATTCCACATATGTATATAAATGAGAGATCAAAGTTGTGTGAGTAACTTGATATGATTATGAGCAATAGTTTGTGCTCGAAACGTCATCAGTTCATATAACTGTAAACACTGTGCGATTTATCAGAATAAAATCTTATCTATAATGGAATTATACTCTACCACAGTGCCCAAGTTTTATACTTATATCAACACCATAGCTAGTGAAACACTTCCGACAGACCAGAAAGCAGAGGAATGTGAAAATGAAAACCTGTAGAAAGCTACCTCACTGCGCTGTGTAGTGTGTAAATTGTGAATCTCAACAAACCAGACATCTGTGCATGTGGATAAATGATGATAACATACGATAAGAGCTTGTTTCCCTAGATTTTTGTTTTTCATTCCAGTGCATTCCCAGTGGAACATGGAGATTCAAGGTGGAGCCTCAAAGCCTCAGTAGTGATAGTGTTATTTATACGGGGTAGAGTTGTTAGCCTTATACGGAAACCTTCCTTTCTATCAGGTTTATTACCGAAATACGTCGGCTGGAAATCGAACCCTGGGCTATATACTTGTCTGAAAACCATTCCCAAGAAGATTAGGCAACTTAAACCCTGACTTCAATCACACCATATGTGCTTAACTCATGAGTAATAGAAAAAGCCTTCACTGTCTTTAGAAGTTTGTAACGAAGTAAACGCGGTAAGTTAGCATGAATTCGATAGATAATCTTAAAATTATGATAGTCGTTGTTAGAGTGACTGACAGGAGTCGATCAAGTATTCCAGAATAGAGCTTCGCATGCCCTTCCTTTCTCCCTTGTAAAACCAAGTTATAATGTGCTCTTGAATTCACGTGAAAAGTGTCCTCTGGCTACGGCCAATGCAATGTACCTTGCTTCACAAGAGTAGGTGAATTGACAGATGCACAAGTGATATCTATAGCCAAAATTTTGCATGCCGACCGATTGATATCAGGTGTGCGTCGTCAGGGTGTCTAACCTCGGATCATGTGCATGGTCAGCGAGAGTCCTAACCGCTGTGCCACCTAAGTCTCAGAGGGATAAACATTTGGTGAATGATGGTGACTAGCAGTGGAACCCAGGATGTGCGTATTTCGTCCTACTTAATAATGATACTAATAATAATTTGCTTTATTCCAAAACAGTACTTGTGATACACAGAATGGAATTCTCAGCATTTTACTATAGTATTGCATCCAGTTGTAACAACAGAAGACAAGGGCCAGGCAACAGATCGTTTTATTATGAAAATCAACACGTATTTATACATATTTCAGACAACATTATTATAGACAAGCGCAGTCATCTGATTGGTTGTTTAGGTAGACAAACGCAGGCTTCTGATTGGTTGTTTCGGGATTCCTTGACAAACAGAGTTCTCTATCTGCGAATCATATTTTGCCACGTTAACTTCGCTGTGATTGGTTGTTGACTCAGCCTTGTTCACGGCCCATATTAGTGACCTAGACCTTAACGTAGATTAGTGCCAACCAATCGGCTAGCAGCCTGCTCTCACCACACTCGTCCCCCCGTCAAATACGTGCGACTGAAGTCGGCTTGATCTACTTGGTGCAGGCGTCATCGTTGGCTTGTCTCGCTGTATCCGTTTCTGGAGCTCGCTGACGTTCACGCGCCTCTTATTGTTCGCCATTGCGACTGTGTCTGCGTAACCCCATCTCGAAGTGACCATATATGGTCCTTCCCACTTTGGAAACTGTTTGCCTGACCCTGTCGAACATTCGTCCATACTTCGGCTCACACTTTCATATGCTGCTTTCACCCGACCTCCCAGCAGCGCCCCAAGTAGCAGCTCCATCGCTGACAGATCTTGAACGCCACTCAACTGCGCAGAAGCCTTGAAGTCCTGCCCGAAGATCCATATGTCTCCATCAAAAACAGCAGGGCATAGGCTTTCCATTTGTCGGTAGGCAGCGACACCAAATGTAACAACAGAAGACAAGGGCCAGGCAACAGATCGTTTTATTATGAAAATCAACACGTATTTATATATATTTCAGACAACATTATTATAGACAAGCGCAGTCACTGATTGGTTGTTTAGGTAGACAAACGCAGGCTTTCTGATTGGTTGTTTCGGGATTCCTTGACAAACAGAGTTCTCTATCTGCGAATCATATTTTGCCACGTTAACTTCGCTGTGATTGGTTGTTGACTCAGCCTTGTTCACGGCCCATATTAGTGACCTAGACCTTAACGTAGATTAGTGCCAACCAATCGGCTAGCAGCCTGCTCTCACCACACAGTTAGTACATTAACAATAAATATAATTCTATACAATCTCTTAAGAAATATAATTCTACATAGATTAAGGGTAATCTCAGTTAGTTTTGACAACCACATATTGGCATGTCAGTAGCAAAGCCAGAATTGAACAGAGTGTTTGAAGGTGTTAGAAAAGTAGGTTCTAGCAGAAGAAAGAAACAAAGGAGCACATAACAGAGAAAAAAGAGAGAAAAAAAGGAAAAGAAAGAAAGAAAACGTTGTACCTATAAATGATATGAGCCAGAAAGACGAGATCCAGTTGTCCTACTGACTATTTAATAAGTTAAAGGTTTCACGCCTAATGCTTTCTTTATCGGACAGAACACGAGCCAAGTAGGGTGTGGTTGAGTTTTTGTACTTGCTAGTGCGAACATATGGTTTTCTATATAGGCTTCTAGTCCCTCCTGATGAGATACAAGGGGAGAGTTGAGAATGTAGAGGGTGGTGTGAGAAATAGAATGAATGGATTTAGCCCATTTTTCACATGAGTCCATGTGCCTGTCAACCAGAATATTAACAAGCTGGTTAAGTGGAATACTGCTTACCTTGCTGACAACCTTTAACATCCTGCGTAATAAGGCATAGTCTTTCTTCAGTAGTCCTGGAAAGACTAAGGGAGAACAATAGAGAATAATAGGCAGGATGCCAGAGTTAACGAATCGTAGGAGTAAAGGTTGGGTGGGTTATTCCAGAATGTCTTAACTTCTTGATGCAGAAGGTGGTAAGACGGAATATTTTCTTAGAAATCATCAAGATATGAGATTTCATCCATATAATTACTTTAAGTAAAATCCTCAGACATTGTTAAAGCATCAGAACAAGGAAGTTGACATGTGTAGCCTGAAGCCGAACAATTAGGTCCATCCAATCAGTTAACAAAGAAAGTCCAAATTGAATTAAATAATTTACTTATTGAGTCGTAAACTGGAAGATATGCAAGTGAAAAGCAACAAGTTGGCGACAAAAGAAGCATCAAAGATAGGACTTCCTTCAGGTAAACATAGATAAAACAGAGGTGATGAAGATTCCTGGCCAACAACAACAGACAACAGTCAGTATAAATGGGAGGAACCTGAAAGAAACAACCTCCTTCACCTACCCACCTACCAGGAAAGCATCGTTTTAACTACAGGCCAACGGAACTGACGAGGATATCAAAGCAAGACAAGCTTTCATTACTCTTACGTTTGTGTGGAGGTCAACGTCACTCAGCATCAAAAATAAGATCGGGATTTTCAACTCCAATGTGAAGTCAGTGCTACTATACGGATCAGAGACTTGGTCAGCGCGTCATAAAGAGCATCTCGAACAAACTTTAGACCTTCATTAACAGTTGTCTTCGCTCAATACTACTCAAGATCAGATGGCCAGCCAGAAAGGATCAGCGACAGGGATCTCTGGCAATGAGTGAACCAACTCAGCAGGAATCGATTGTGAAACAAATAGGCAGGAAGAAATGGAGTTAGGTGGATTGGCCATACTCTGAGGAAACAAACCATCGAGTGGAACCCGAAAGGGAAGCGGCGAGTTGGTCGTCAGTGTGAGGGTGACTTGGAGGAGGTCATGTGAAGAGGAGATGAAAGCATGTGGGCAGACTTGGAGCGAGGTGGAAAAGTTGGTAGAAAACCTGAAGGCAACGGAGACACACAGCTGACGCCCTATGTTCCTCTCGGAATTAAAGGATATAATAATAACAACAATAACAGAGTCGCCGTTTTTCGTTTGATTTATTTCAACATGTCGAACTGTCTAATTAGTGCAAAATTCATTCATACAGTGTGTAATAGTCGTAGTAAACCAGAATTTTATTTTACAACACACAAAAAAAAAACACTGACATTTGATGAAAGTTTTATTGATCTATTTTTGTGTGTGTAAAATAGACTGACAAAAAATTTGTGTGTGTGGGTGTGTGTGTGTGTTTGTATTTTTCAATCAGTTGACAAACACTGACTGACTCTATAAGGAAACAACAGTCGGTGATCAATTTTTTTTATATCAAAATACTCTGCTTGCACAATCTCCACAGGCATACATTCATTCATTCATTCACATTTTTTCATCTATTTATATTGGAGTTATGTGTTCATTGTTGAGATCAGGGTGTACATGCGTGACAGGTAAGAGGGTGGGGGAATGCGCGCGCGCGCGTGTGTGTCTCTTTGTGTGTATCCGTGTGTGGTATAGAGCTCGTAAATTATTTAACTAATTAAAAATTAGTAAAATTTTTGATGAAAAAAAGACGATGCGAAAAGTTTTTGATCAAGCATATACATATATACACACACACACACATTCTGGTTGACTGACTGGTTTCAACATAGAACGCTGCACACATGTACACCAGTTCCAGTTACTACAATCTCTCCAAATATCACACAAAGCAAGAGAAGATACATTAAAAAAGAGAGAGATTGTAAACAGAAGCTTGAGTGAGGAGAAAAGAATAGTAGTAATATCGAAGAAGAACAACAACAGAGTTTCATTGGATATGACTGGCGAATCACAGAGAGTGAATGCATCTGCACCAGCCATTGACAACAAGGACTTTCAGCCAGCCATATCACTGCTAACTGTATCCAGCCTTCATTGGTTCTTACCATCTTGACGACCTAAACCAGTCAGACAGATCAGTCTACACCTCCCTACGTGACTGGTTGGCTAGCTTAAACCAACTGTTATGGATTTGGTTGACTGATGAAGCTGTGTTTTGGTTTGACCACCGCTACTAGCTCTTTCTTTTCCAACCTGATCCAATGTCAGTCAGCCAACATTGTCTGTTGTCAAGGAAGGCGATGGCTAGGGATGCATGCATAACACATGTCCTAACCATCTCAATCGGTGCAGCTGCTTCATAGCCTCGTCGGCCAATTTTCATTTCCACTTACCTAGTACCTGACCGATGCCTCATTTCAATATTACTCACCCTATTACAACTACCACCTAATACGGGAGACAGAACGCAAGCACGCAATTGTGGACCCAGCTAAAAAGAAATGCGGAGGACAAGACAAAGTGGAGATATGCTGTTGACGCTGCTCTATGACGAAGTCGGAACCCAACAGAATAAAAAGTGATAATACATATCTCAGGAGCTGTAGCTGTCGAACGGTAAAGAAGAAAACTAACTCACGCATTCAATCCTCTCCCCCCCCACAACGTGCACAGTCAGCGTGTGAACATTCTACCACTAAACCAATAACGTATGTAGTGAGATGTAAGCATGCAGTTTTCTATGCATCCTGACTCAGAATGTTTTATAATTGGAGGTAATATTTTACTTTAACTGGTCATATTTTTTTTATCTCAGTCTCTTGTTAGAAATTTCAACAAGAATTTCTAGTGACAAACGAGTTTTTGGTTTCTAAATCTATGGAGTCAATAGGGATTGAATCCGAGACCAAGCTCGTTGGTCACCAGTCACCCACTTGATTTGGAATTGAATCACCTGTAAATTCTAACTTCATCAATCCACGACACAGTATTACCCACACCAGTGACCTTCGGTAAACACTACACCACACCTTAACATTGTGGACTCCTGGTTGAAAATAATTTCCGACTACAGCGTTTCAGCAAAATTTATCTAATAACTACCAGGCAGGATGTTCATCGATGGTATTAGTGAGGATAGAGGTATACCGCGAATTGACAAAGTCACTTCAAGTGGCTCGCTTAATCGTCAACGTAGTTGTTCTCGAATTTGATACCCGGTGGGATAGTCGACGTGTGCAGTACTGAAGAGTCCCAACAAAAGACAACAGAGACAATTGTTCAGTGTCCCTCCCTACTGTACTTCAATGATCTCTCCAACTGGTGCGATCGTTCGTGACGAGATCTAATAAATGAAATTAAATTCATCTTCATCCACACACACACAAAATACACAAAACCAAAAGAAGTGAAAAACCAAATTATTATTATTATTATTTCAGGTTAGACCACGGATTGATATTAGTTAGAGAACCATACGCAAATATGACGAAGTACTGGATGGCTGTTTCCTTTGTCCTAGTTTGGGACTTGTCGGCAGTGCGCACCCAGGACCTTCTGGTTACAAGGCATGCTCGTATACCACTCAACCACTAGGACCCGTTTCAATGGCCAACCCATGGATTCTAACTTCTGTCTGTCTGTCTGTTTTCGACATACAACTTTGCACGGATGCGCGGCTGTTCAAGTCGCCACACTCCCTCCTTGTAGAACACAAAGCAAGAGAATGAGGTAGAAGAAATGCATAATAGAGACAGTAAACAGCGGTGTGAGACAAAGGAATAGTAATAACGAAGAACAAAACAGTTTCATTGGAAATCATAAGTCACAAGGAGTGGATGCATCTGCGCCAGCCACTGAGAACGATTTTGAGCCGGTCGTATCACTAATTGTTTCCAACCATTGGTTTTTACCGTCCCGAGGACCCCAACCAGAAAGTCTACACCTTCCTACGTGACTGGCTTAAAATAACTGTTGTAGATTTCATTGACTGATGAAGCCATGTTTTTGTTTGACCTCCGCTAGCTCTTTTGCAGCCTGACGTGATGTCAGCTAACATTACCCGTCGAGTAAGGCGATGACTAGGCTGGAAATACGTAACGCATATCCTAACCATCCCAGTCGATGTAATTTCACAACTTCGTCGATTGATTTCCCCTCCTTACCTAGCACTCGACGCTTAACCTAAA